TTCCTGCTAAAAATACAGAATTGATGGGTTTCCCCACCACAACAGAGATGTATCTTGGCTCAAGGATGGTTAATCAGAAAGATAAAGTAAAGGAACCTCCACATCCTGATTATCATTCCTGTACTTTAAGCACAAAACATGTGTCTTAAGCTTTATACTATATGTGTTCTAATAGGCATAAAAAGTTAGGGGCCAACCATCTTATTCACTTTAGTAGCAGCTGTGTGTTGTTCCTCCTCTATAGCTCTGTTACAATAAGTCTTTTGAAAAAAGTTCATAGATGATTAGTTGCGCTTCTATTTGAGCTGACAAAAGTGGCTAAAAGGAATAGTAAGAAAATGGAGAAGAAATGACATTTCAAACCAACAGTAATTATTTTTTATTGTTATTATTGCAAAATGTATTTTATTTTTAAACTGTTACTCAGTGGAATGATAGTCTGTCCAAGAGTACATTTCTTTCCAAATGAGGAACTGAAATGGAGCTTGTTTCAGTGTTTCAAGTTGTGTTAAACTCTACTTTCTCAAGAAACAAGCAATGTTACTCACATCTCATATAGAAAGTTTTGAATTCCACAGTGTAGCAAAATACAAGTTTTTGGCATAGTCAAGGAGCAAGGATTGATCTTTCTTAATCATATGCTATTTGTTACAACATATCCAACTACTTTTTCAAGTCATGGACATTAGTATTAGGCAGGTTGGAAATCTGTTCTTAGTATTTTCTGTTTCAGTAGAATGATCCAGAGTATAGGAACATAGATGGCATAAATTAATGTAATAAGAAAATATGACAGCTATTGATCACATTTTAAAACAAGTCTCAATGTTTGTCTATCTACGACTTTAAATAAAATTAAATCTCTTTACCACATTGAAGGGCTCACAGTTATCAGGGAAAAAAAAAAAAAAAAAAAGGTTCCTTTGAAGATGTTACAGTCCCTATTACCTCCAATAATTGCAGAGTCACTTCTGATTGCATTAGCTAAGGGCTGTCCCTTGTCTATTGGTCCAGAGTCATCTGCAGCAGAAGAAAAAAAAAAAAAGGAAAGTGACAAACAGAAGAAAGGTTTTCAAGAAATTCTCATAATTCATTTACAGTATGGTAGAGTTGCATAAATGTAGGTCCATAAGCATGCAAGAGGAACAGTGGTGTAGGTCACATTTTGCAGAGATAAAGAGAAAAAATATAGACAATCACAGAAGATAAATGCTAGAGAAAAGGGGAAAAGGAAGTACATCTAAAAATTAAGTATTTTTCTAACTGGCTTGAGATGTGAACTCACATGGAAGGATAGTTGTTATTCAGGTCATGAGTACTCTATTTAGATTTTGCTTCAGAAGTCAGAACACATGATAACCATATGCTACCTGCAAATGAATGGGTTGTTTCACTTGATATTGAGTCAGCTCCAGTAAAAGTACCACAGTTCGATTCAGTGAAGTGTCCCTTTATAATCACAGGGGCTGAGCTGCTGTGGTGCAGTGCAGCTTTCAAAGGAGCAATATGGTTGAACTGTACTGAAGAGAGACATCCAATAAATCCCTGAGAGTTCGCCTTCATAGTTTCCTCATCTACATCACTGTTTTCTGTTAATCAAAAGGAACAGACCATAATTAATCATTGTGCAAATGTGCAAAATAAAGTGAAAGAAGAACAGATAAATAAGTAAACTGTGTTCCACTGTGTGTATTTGAGTTACAGCAACATGTCCAGATTAATTTAATTCTGTTCTAGTCTGTCTTTAATGAAAAAATTAATTTTTTTTAAGTTTTTTTTTACAGATGACAGTTGCTAATCTGCTGAAGGAAAAGCTTTTAACTTACTATAGCAATTTCCAAAGAAAAAAGATTAAAATATAACTTTTCAAATTAAAATGCAATATTTGGGGGGAGGGGAAGGTTGTTATTCTGCAAAAAAAGGATGATGCTTGTTTCCATGAAGAACACATTTTACAAAGGATGAAGAAAAGACTGAGGTACTCAATACCTATTTTGCCTCAGTCTTTAGCAGCCGAACTAGCTGCTCCATGGATACACAGCCACATGAGCTAGGAGACAGGGAGGGGATGCAGAACGAGATAATCACAAGTAAAGAAGAAGTGGTCAGAGACTTACTACACCACTCAGACGCACACAAATCTATCGGATCAGATGGTTTACATCCAAGGAGGCTGAAAGAGTTGGCAGAAGTGATCATCAAGTCACTTTCCATTATTTACCTGAAATCCTGGCTAACTGTGGAGGTCCCAAGTGACTGGAGGGTAGCAAATGTAACACCCATCTACAAGAAAGGCAGGAAGGAGGATCTGGGAAACTATAGACCTGTTAGTCTAACCTCTGTACACAGGAAGGTCATGGAGCAGATCATCTTGAGTGTCATTAGAAGCCATATAGTGGACAACCAGGGGACAAGACCAGTCAGCATGGCTTATGAAAAGCAGGGCCTGCCTGACAAACCTGATCTCCTTCTGTGACCTGAGGACCCAACTATTGGACGAGGAAAGGCCGTGGATATGGTCTATCTGGGTCTCCAAAAAACATCTGACACAGATCTGAATAGAACTCGCATGAACAAACTGGCTGCTCATGGCCTCGTTGAGCATATGATCTGTTGGATCAAGCACTGGCTGGGCAGTTGGTCAATGCCGTGAAATCCAGCTGGCCGCCAGTCACAAGTGATGTTCCGCAGGGCTCAGTGTTGGGACCGTTTCTGTTTAACATATTTATTGATGATCTTGATAAGGACATAAAGTATATCATCAGTATGTTTGCAGATGACACCAAGTTAGGTGGGATTGCATGAGGATAGGGAGGCTTTACAGAGAGACTTGGATAGATTGGATCATTGGGCTAATATTAATGGTCTGGGCTTCAACCAGGCCAAGTGCTGGGTCCTGCACTTGGGCCACAACAACCCCAGGCAACACTACAGGCCTGGGGAAGTGTGGCTGGAAAGCTTTCTGGCAGAAAAGGACCTAGGGGTTCTAATTGACAAGTGGCTGAACATGAGCCAGCAGAGTGCCCAGGTGGCCAAGAAAGCCAGTGGCATCCTGGCTTTTATTAGAAAATAGTGTGACCAGAAGAAGTAGAAAGGTGATTGTCCCCCAATACTCAGCAATGGTGAGGTCACACCTGGAGTATTGTGTCTAGTTTTGGGGTCCCCAATTCAAGAGAGATATTAAGGTGCTGGAACGAGTACAGAGGAGGGCAATGAAGCTGGTGAAGGGCCTAGAGAAAAAAATCTTATGAAGAATACTTGAAGGAGCTGGGAATGTTTAGTATGAGACAGAGGAAGCTGAGAGGGGACCTCATCAGTCTCTACAACTACTTGGAAGGACATCGTAGAGAGGCTGGCGCTGGTTTCTTCTCACAGGTAATTAGCACTAGAACAAGAGGGAATGGCTTCAAGCTGCAAAAGGGTAGGTTTAGACTGGACATTAGGAAAAAAAAATTCACAGAAAGAGTGGTCAGACACTGGATAGACTGCCCAGGGAGGTGGTTGAGTCCCCATCCCTGGATGTGTTTAACGGTCTTTTGGATGTGGTGTTGGTGGCTATGGTTTAGGGGAGAACTTTGTAGAGTAGGGATGATGTTGGACTCAGTGATCCCAAGAGTCTTTTCCAACCTGAATAGTTCTGTATTTCTATGATTCTATAAATGTGTACATGATTAGATCATATTCTTTCTACAGATTCATGTATCTACTTCAGTGTATCCTTTCTGTCAAAGTCTCTGAAGACCTCAGATCTGAGACATCCATCAAGATATTTTCTGTGGAATTTTTAAAAATGAATATACTTCCAATTTAATATGTTTAAACATTAGACCATTATCATGCAAACTAAGGGGAAACAAACAAACAAACAAACAAACTCTTTCTTATTCTCTTGACCTTCTTTTTGAGCTCAAGCTTCTCTTAGGCTTTTCTTTTGCTCTATTTAGTCACCAGTTAATGTTCACTAACTCACTGTTTTTCAATAGAGCAGTTTATTTACTCTGGCAGTGCTAATTTAAGCAAAAACTCTGGAAGCACTATTCAAAGAGGACTCTTAAGGGAATTAAGTTTTTATGTTTTGTACAAATAAAATGGCAATTTCATCTCATTCATTGCCACCCCCAATTCAACCGATCAATGAACTGGTGATTTTTACAGTGGCTACTATAAACATTTTTAAGTATCAATGTGCAATGCAGTCCTCGTTACAATTAGTTTAATAGAGAAAATCAGATTAATGCATTTTGGTAGAATGTCATAAAATAGCACAGCAGTGTTTTCCTCAATTATTCTCTGCTTATTGCAAACATGATGTATTATTAGACAGACATCAACCAAGAATCTGCTTACCAACACTAACAGATTACATGGAAGTTGGATGTTTAACTGCCTCTGTTCTCTCTGTAGAAAAAGATTGATCTGACATAGAAAGAAAATTATGTTCAAAACCCCTTGTGATGAAAGTGTGTATCTCTAATTATAAGCAGGGTTGAAAACCTCAAGAGTGAAGCATTTTCTATTTTTTTCTAGTTTCCTGTACAAATCATGTAGTGAACATTGTATATGTATAATCTGAAAGGAAAATAGATATCTAAAATCTTTAGTGTTTACCTGACTCATTATTTAGAAGTTAATTTAGTAATTAATAAAATAAAACTTTTTATTAGATCAAACAATCTGGCTGGCAAAGGCATTAAGGTTTAGGGAAGACAAACCTTTGTCCGCTTTAGTGCTTAACTTAAATTTAACTGAGTGAAAATGACACATCCAAGTTTTTTATGTGAGACTGTATTTTATAGTAAACTGCACTTTTGCATTTTTATGCACTTATGCATCTTTATGCACTTATGCATCTTTACAGCAATTCACATGCTAAGTGCAGTAGTTTTTTTCAGCAAAAAGTAAGAAAAAGATAAATAAATAATAATAAAAAACCACAAGAAAACCCCGAAAAAGACCAAAAACCAGAATACAACTCTATAGCCCTCTTTCCTGAATTCTGCTACAACCATCTGGAAAGTAATACTGGAAGTCAGCAGACATACAGCTCCTAGCAGAATATTTCAAGACTAGAGCGATGCAATCAAAATATTAGCTTTGAGTTTTCAGCTTTTACCAACTTTTATAATTTTGAATATTTTGAAAATTTACACATTTTTGTACAATCCTATTTTATCTCAAAATTCGTCCATAATATCTTGGTCGAACTACTGTCTGATGGGTCGTGCTCAATGAGATATAGTAAATGGGATTGCATCAGGCTGGCAGTCAGTCACCAATGAGATTCTCTAGGGTTCAATTTTAGAGCCAGTGTTCTTCAAAGTTTCTATAAATTTTCTAGATGCAGGAGTCAAATGTACACTAAGTAAGTTTGCTGATGATACACAAAGAGAAGGAGCTATGAAATCGCTCGAGGCTAGAGAGATATTAGAGTGAGAGCTGGATAGATGAGAGAGCTGGATGATCATCAACAATATGAAATTTAACAATATTGAATGCCAGATTCTCCACTTGGAATAAGGTAACCCTGCTTATATTTACAAATAGTGGGATGCGAGTTCGAAGAGCACCCCTGAGAAAAAAGATCTGGGGATTTGGGTGGATGGTAATTTGAATATGAGTCAACAGTGTGCCCTGGCAGCCAAAAGGGCCAACCATTTCATGGGATACATCAATCCCAGCATAGCTTGCCAGCTGAGGGAGGTGATTGTCCCACTACACACTGTGTCCTTGCATTATGGTGTGAGCTGACCTCAAACACGGTGTAGTCATGGGGTCCCCAATATGAGAAGGACACAAAACTAATCAAGTGTGTCCAAGGGAGGGCAACCAAGATGGTGAAAGGTCTTGTGGGCAAAACTTACGAGAAGCAGCTGATGCCACTTTGTTTGTTCAGCTTGGAGAAGAAAAGGCTGAGGGGTGACCTCATGGTATTCTACAAATTCCTCAAGGGGGGCAGTGAAGGGGGGGATGATGAATTCTTCTCTCTTGTGACCTGTGATTGGACACAAGGAAATGGAGTAAAGCTGCATCAGAGGAAGTTCATATTGGATATTAGGAAAAGGTTATTCTCTGAGAGGGTGGTTGGTCACTGGAACAGCCTTCTCAGGGAAGCAGAGCATCTGGACAACCCACTTAGTCATATGGTTTAGTTTACCTAGTCCTGTGAGAAGTAGAAAGTTGTATTCAATGATCCTTATGGATCCCTTTCAACTTGAGATGTTAAGTGATTCTACAGTTCTACAAATCTACTCAGTAGAAAATAATAATAATATTAATGTGATTTTCACAGTTAAGTTACCAGCTGGACGTACTAATTATGTGCATGGAACGAACTGCAACAAAATATATAGTAAGCCTTGATGAACTTGGCCAACTAAATTAAAAATCTGATGAAGAAAAAAATAACAACTACTGGAGTACAATTATATGTATTTTAAGTTGTGGAAGCTGCAAAAAAAATATATATATTTTACAATAACAGACTTATATTAAAGACTTTTCTAAACCAGCTTTGAAAGATTGAAATTTTTTTAATTTTTTTTTTTTACTCTATTAATTGCCAAAATCATATAGCGGAAAAAATCTGCAT